TGCACCAACTTGCAACCCATTTTCATCAAGTAGTGAACCAATCATCCCATCGAGCCTGGGATCGACGCCAAAATACCCTCAGATTTCGTAACCAGTCCCTCCAAGTAGCCATTCGTTCAATTGATTTCATGGCTACCAAAATGCACAATGAACAACTATAGGCTATGGGCATCTATAGGCTATATATATGACCAGTTTTTGTTTTCAACATGTTTTGATATATCGCTATTGTGGCCGAGTGGAAACACCAGGGCTGACACAGGACTGGTGCTGGGTGATTTTTGTTTGTGCGATGGGGTAACCGAAGGTGGACTAGTCGGCGATGAAGTTCGGGCTGCTCGATTTGTACGTTCGCCCAGCATAGCGCTGTGTGGCCTACTTAGTCTTTGCCACTGCGACAGTGCCACGATGCTGAGCATTCAGCTTCATACCGATTCATTATCATGCATCATGTGAGCCAAGTATGAATATCAAAGGCACACACACACACGCACATATACATATACATATACATATACATATACAATGCGTCCTACCTTAGGAAATTATTTTGAGGTGGGGGTTGGTTCCAAAATATTTTTTTTAAAAATAATTTCCATTTTTAACATGAATTTTATGTTAAAATCACCCGACAAGAGCCATAGCAAAATAATTTTTGCACCCGTACCTTGATGATGGTGCAAAATAATTTTCCACCTACAGAGGTTGAAGCACCTTGAAATAATTTTAAACAAACAACTTAAGGCACCTCAAAATAATTTCTGTTGAACTGGGGAAATTATTTCATATAGTTCCAACTGTATAAAATAATTACCAGACACCCATGATGAAAATTATGTCATGGGGTGGGGGTACTTGCAAACCACCCGCAAAATAATTTCAGCATATTACATCAAATTTCAACTACATATTTCAACATGTTCAGTCAGGATATTCTTTGAATCAATCTGCAGCCATTTCCAACTTCATTCAAACCACATCCCGTCAATCCCAACACATCCCAGGGAAGTTGAGTTTTGCAAGGTTAGGTTTTTTTGGATTTCTGGGGTGTTCTAGTAGTTAACCACCCCCAAAATAATTTTTTGGGGAGAGAGGAATCGATTCAGGTTTCTTTGCCCAAAAGCCGATGCTAAGTCGATGTTCTAAAACATAATTAGTTCAGCCAGTAATCCATGGTAAATCTCAGGGTTTGTCTGTTCGAGGCAATTTGGATTTTGAACTACTCAATGGGAAGTTAATTTTGCCAGTTTAGGCTATTATTATTTCTGGGGTGGTTTAGTAGTTAACCACCCCCAAAATAATTTATGGGGTAGGAAGGGGTCGATTCAGATTTCTTTGTCCAAAAATCGATGGTCTAAATCATAGGTGGTTTAGTAGTTAACCACCCCCAAAATAATTAGGTTCTCATGGTTTGATTCTTTCAGACAGTTTGGGTCAATTTGGATCAGGTTTGGCATTTTTGACCTATTCCAGGGAAGTTGAGTTTTGCAAGGTTAGGTTTTTTTGGATTTCTGGGGTGGTCTAGTAGTTAACCACCCCCAAAATAATTTTTGGGGAGAGAGGAATCGATTCAGGTTTCTTTGACCACAAGCCGATGCTAAGTCGATGTTCTAAAAAATAATTAGTTCAGCAAGTAATTCATGGTAAATCTCAGGGTTTGTCTGTTCGAGGCAATTTGGATTTTGAACTACTCAATGGGAAGTTAATTTTGCCAGTTTAGGCTATTATTATTTCTGGGGTGGTTTAGTAGTTAACCACCCCCAAAATAATTTATGGGGTAGGAAGGGGTCGATTCAGATTTCTTTGTCCCAAAATCAATGGTCTAAATCATGAAATTCCGACAATGCTTGTCGGGTGCATTCGGGAGGATAGGTAGGGTGACCCCCCAAAATAATTTTGTGGGGATTTTTGCTATTTATTTTGAGGTGGTTCTACTTGTTTTTTCAATCATCCAAAGCCATCTTAAACCACCTTGAAATAATTTCCAAAATTATTTTGAACTAAGGGAAGTGGTTTTGAGTAATAGTAGAACCCTACAAAATAATTTATTTGCAAATTTTCAGAAATTATTTTGAGGAGGTGGGTAGTGATAAAGGATATTATTTTGGGATGGTTAGAGTGTTTTGGAAAAAAATATTTTGCAGTGGGTTATGTACTGAAGCACCTCAGAATAATTCTGAAAAATTATTTTGGGGGGTCACCCTAGTGATTTTACCCAGGGTAGCCCGCATCATATACATATACATATACATATACATATACATATACATATACATATACATATATATATATATACATATGCATATACATATACATATACATATACATATACATATACATATATATACCTATGCATATACATATACATATACATATACATATACGTATACTTATACATTTGCACATACATAGACATATACATATATACATATATACATATATACATATATACATATATACATATACATATACATATACATATACGTATACGTATACTTATACATATACATATACATATACATATACATATACATATATATACATATACATATACATATACATATACATATACATATACATATACGTATACGTATACGTATACGTATACTTATATGTATATGTATATGTAAATGTATATGTACATTTATATGTATATGTATTTGTATTTGTATATGTATATGTATATATATGTAAATATTCATATGTATTTTTGTATATGTATATATGTATATATATGTATATATATATATGTATACATATGTATATATATGTATATATATATATGTATATATGTATGTATATATATGTATATATATGTATATATATGTATATATGTATAATATGTATATAT